CCAAAAAAGATGGTTGATGGTGTAGGAGGAAATGTTTTGAAACAAAGTTCAGATAAAAATTTTTGCAATCAGAAAGCGAGTAAAACTCATAACCTGTATTAAGAAAATAAACAGCTCGATTTAAAAAATGGTCCAAATACTTTAACAGATACTTAGCCTGAAAAGTCCTACAGATGGCAAACAAGCAAATAAAAGGATGTTCTACACTAAAATGTCAATTAAAATTAAAGTGAAATACTACTACACAAACACAAAAAAATAGCTAAGATTAAAGAGACTAACAACACCGAGTCTTAGCAAAGATGTGGAGCAATTGGTCCTCTAATGCCCAGTTCATGATACAGTCACTACAGAAAGCTGCTTGACAGTTTCTTGGAAAACTAAGCTTGCATGTAATAAATGACTCAGCCACTTTACTCTCTACTCAAGGAAAATGAAAACATGTGCCACACAAATATCCACACACCAACATTGATATCAGCTTTATTCATAATATTTCAAGCCAAAAAAACAACCCACAGGCTATCAACTGGTGAAGAAATGGACAAATTGTATAGCCACACAATGGAACAGTACTCGGTCATAAAAAAGAATGATTTGCTGATATTTGCAACTACATAAGTGAATCTCATAAAGCATTGTGCCAATTTTGAAAAAGCCAGACACAAAACAACATGCCTTGCATGATTCTGTATAGATGGAACACTTTGAAAGGAAATGATACCAACAGAAATCAGACCAATGGCTGGCTGCTGGGGCCTGGTAAGTAGCCAGAGATCACCTTCAAAGAGGCATCTGAGTGCCTTTCCGTTTCTCTTGTGATTGTGGTGGTCCCATGAGTGTGACCATGCCTTAAACCCATTGCAGTGTCCTCTCTCCACGGCCTGGGCCTGCTGCGCTTGTGGGGCTCCACTGGAGGGAGGTCACAGGAGGACCGACTTCCCCTTCTGCTGTCTGTGGGACAGATGGGGCTCACCCTTCACAAGGGCCGCACCTCTGCAGAAGCAGCACCTGATTTCTGAGCAGTTAGAGGCCACCACGGTCCCCTTCCAGGACAGCCAGAGGCTGGCTGGGCAGAGCTGGGGTGGTAATGGACTCAGAGGACCAGGATGAGGTGGTGCATGTCCCTGGGGGCAGGACAGTGGAGGCTGAGCACCCGCAGGGCCCAGTGACATTGGGTTAGTACAGGAGCCACACCTGTGTCCAGAGGCTGGGGGCCTGGGCAGGCTCGCCGGGGCCACTCCCCTGAACCTGGGGAAACAGCTTCTTCCCCAGGAAACGGGAGTCCTGGAATCCTCGTGGCCCGCCTCAGGGCCATGGCGGGGGGCAGAGCTTTCTACTTGGGGAGCGATGCTGATTTTCCCTTCCTCATAGGTTTGTGAAGAACAGAAGGAAAAGTTGCTTTCAAGAAACTCACTCAG